TTCTTTTAAACTACCTAATGACAAAAGAGTTGTCTGGGTAGATTACTTACTAAAAAAAAAAGAATGAGTTATAATGCAGAAAAACACAAGGCAAGAAGTATAATAAAGTAAGATTACAATGTCTAATTAGGGATTTTTGAACGTTTTACTTGACTTGCTTTTAACACAATGTCTACTAAATGAGCAGAACCTACTTTCCTATTTCATACTTCTCTGAGAGCAACCTTTGGCTTAAAACCAGATGTTCATGTTGATTTTCCTCTTGAAATAAATTATAACTGCAGAAGAGAAATTAAACTTTAACCGACTACACCAAACAGAATGGTATAAAACAACTGCTGCTCCAGCCATTACTTTAAAAATCTTCCCAGTCATCTGAACAATTTTGTAGCTGATAAAAATCCTAAAGTCATGTATTTTTCAGCTAGGCAGAGAATGACCATACACGATAGTAACCTTACAAATGAAAATTGTTGATTCTTTTATTCTGCATCGGGTATTATTTATTTATAATGTTGGATTTCTGGTTAATAACTATAACAACATTTTGGTTGGGTAATCCATATTAGTGATGTTTCTTTTTCACCGAGATGTTTCTTTTTTGTGTTTCAGCATGCCAGCTTAGCAATGCATTACATTTAGCTTAACCTAGTTTATTTTGGATGAAAATAATGGACCACTAGTAGAGTTATAGATTCAGGGAACTGAGAAAACGTAGAAATAACTGCATTTACCTAACAATTTAAGTTGTAATTTTTTGGGGGGAAAACAGAAAATACAATTAGTTCTCAGCTTACCACCACAACTGAGCCCAAAAATTCTGTTGCTAAGTGAGTCAGTTGTTAAGTAAAATTTGCCCCATGTTATGATCTTTCTTACCAAGTTGTTAAGTGAATCACTGCAGTTGTTAAGTTAGTAGCACAGCTATTAAATGAATCTTCCCTATTGACTTTGCTTGTCAGATGGTCACAAAAGCTGATCTCATAACCCTGGGACACTGCAGCCATCATTTTGATTATTTGACCATGGGGATGCTGCAATGGTCTAAGTGTGAAAACAGTCATAAGTCATTTTTTTCAGTGCCGTTGTAATTTCAAATAGTCACTAAATGAACTGTTGTAAGTCAAGGACTATCTGTAGTATAAAAGACATTTGCAACGTATTTGCTCAGCTGTTGAATAAAAGCCAATAAACTCTATTGCGCATAAAAAGAGAGAAGTTATTTTAGAGTTGTGATTTCTCAGCTTCTAACTGCATCCTTGCAAAATGGCAAAACTGGATACTCTCAGAAAGTCCCTAAGCATATATGTTTGATAGAATTATTATAATTTTTAATGGCTAATGCAGCCCAAAATTCTGTTAATATTAGCCTTGTGCATGCACAGTTGCGGTTGGAGTTAGACATTGCTAATCTTCATGCATGCAAAATGGAAAAAAAGAAAGATTCCATCAGAGAAAAACGTTACATTTTTTTAATAAAAAGGCTTATTGCTACATTAAAACAAAATTTGATGTAATTGAACAGTGTCAGAGAGGTCATAGCATCTCTAAAATAGGACAAGATATTGGAATGCCTGAAATCTGCAATAGAATTCCTTTGTTTTCATTTTGCTTTCTATAGTTTGACTTTGCAGGCCATAAATTTAGATTAAAATATATTCTTTTTATCCTTTGTGGTACTGTTTCATTGATATACATATAAACATTTATGCTTAAAATTTCTTACTGTCTGTTTTCTTCAAGCTGGAAGCAATTACCATATTTTTCACAGAAATGTCACTTTGAATGGTGCAAATTCAAATAATGTGATGATAATTTCATGGGATTAATTAATCAAGGCCAACTTGTATTGTTTTTCCTTGCATCATCAACTCTTTCATTTGAACATAAGAGGAAAAACATTCCTGTTCTATCTCTTTAAATACCTTTTTAAATGCAACATAAAAGAATAGTATGGGAAATTGAAGTTAATTACAGTATATGTGTATGTAAACCTATGTACCTATTTTGTTAGCATGGTTTCAATTGCTGGTAAATTTAATTCAGGCAGGAATTGCTTTCATTACTGAGTACAGGTGAAGAAGTGTATTGTACTGCTTTATTATTTATCTTGAATTACAAGCTTTCAAGAAGTCTGCTGAAAAATAACATATTTCTCCATATTATCATCAAGGCACTACTTCACTGAAAAACCATGATTAGATTCACTTTCTTAATAATCAGAGTTCATGATTTTATTTTTTTTATTTCCATTAACTTATATGCTGCCCTTCTCCCCATGGGACTCAGGGCGGCTCACAGCATGTTAAAACAATATAAAACATTTCCCCTATAAAAGCCAATTAAAAACCAAATATTTATAGCTGTGTCTTATTAAAATCTTTAAAAATTGTCCCTATTTAAAATTCACCCTAGGTCAGTCCCGCTTGCTGAAAAAGCCATGTCTTGAGGGCGCGGCGGAAGGTTAGGAGATCCGGAATCGTCCGGATCTCGGGGGGTAGTTCGTTCCAGAGGGTGGGGGCACCCACAGAGAAGGCCCTCCCCCTGGGGGTCGCCAGCCGACATTGCTTGGCCGACGGCAC